AGATCAATTTCTCTTTGTACATTTCTCTCATTCCTACTCATCCATTATTTCTCCCTCAGTCACTTGCCTCATTTCTCAAACTTTCCTTTTTCCTTCAGCCTCAAGTTTCTTTATGAGGTTCAAAATTGAATTCAAACTCATTAACAATGCAACTCATGGAAGTATAAAATCAAGAACCGAAAAATTATGAATTAAAAGATGAAGAACAAATATTCAAATTGTAATATGAAAGGAGTTTGGAAAATGCAAATGAAAACTAACATGATGGACACATTTTATTCCAAACTGATAGCAATAGGGAAAAACTCCATTGTTCACTTATTCAAGCCCTCATTAGTAGTAGTTCTAAGATCAACCTTGTTTGAGTGGAATTGTAAGCGTTGGTCCCTTCAATATTAAAGGCTATCTAGGAGTTGATGAAACTTGATTGGTGAGAGTAACTGCAGCCACCTCTTGACCTTCCTCAAAATCCTTCTCGATCATATTGACTGTTTAACCATCATGTGTTGGTAGGGAGTTTTTAGTGATATTCGGACCAACAAGTTCAGGTTCTGATGCAATCTGTAACTCCTTTGCCTCTATCAAATCTTGAACACCATGCCTTACAGCTAGACAATTTTCAAGGTCATGCCCAACACCTCCGTTGTGATATTCACATCTTGCTTATGGATTGTACCACGTTGGAAATGGTGTTTTTACTGGAACCATAGGTATAGGAGTAACAAGACCAGCTGCTACCAATTGTTGAAACACTTCAGCATATGACAAAGGAAGCTTGTCAAAATGTCGTCTCACTTGTTGTGGATGATTGACCCCAAAGGTGTAAATGGGCCTTGGTTGGTGTAATACCCCAAAAATTTCTAGAATAAATAAGTAAGTTAGGGACTTGATTGTGAGAAAAGATTGTTTCGGGGCCTAATGTGATAAGTTTGAAAGTTGAGGGACTTAAAGAGACAAAATTTGGATAAGGATGAGCTTTTTTTCTTTTTCTTTTTCTTTTCTTTCTTTCTTTCTTCTTCAGCCCGACTCTGCTCTTCTTCTTCCCGTTGCAGCTCCCGAAAAACCCCTCAAAGCCGCCGGCACCAGCCTTGAGGAAACCGGTGAGAGAGCTTGGTTTTTGGCCTTCTTTTCTTGCTCTAGAACGTAAATTGAACCCAGAAACCTTCCCCCATGTTGGAAAATCCGGATCTGCCTTGCTCTGTCCGCTGGCTGCTCTTGTTGTGGGGGCCGAATTTCTCTGATTTTGGGTAAGAAACAGCCATGATTTCATCCTTTTAGCTTTGATTTAAGTTGGGTTTGCCTTAATTTCCCTTGATTTCTCCAATTTTTGGGTAAAACCAGTGAGTTCCCTGCAGGATTTCTTCTTCCATGCTGCCGGCTCTTCCCCCAAACTGCAGTCCGATTGTGCTAGGAAAATTATGGTATGTGACAGCCATTTAAGCTTAAAATTACCCATTTAGTTTGCTGCCTTGTTATGTTCGAATTTTATAGAAAAATGGGGATATTTTCGGTAGCTTTAGGATGAGATTTAAGTATTAATTGAAGTGAGGTTTATGTGATTGAGTGTTAATTGATTGCTGTGATATTTTTGGAGAAAATCCCGTGAGAATAGGCTATGGTTTTGCCAATTTTGGAAGTTTGAGTACTGTTCACGCCGTGGTTACTGTTCACGGTCACTGTTCAAGATTACTGTTCATGCATTAATGGCCAACAATTAACGGGGATTTAAATGATTAGTTTGTGATATAAGAACGAATTTGGAGATATCTGATAATGTGGAGATTTATAGAAATAGCATCGTGATTAAGGGTAGTCTTAATGATGATTTCAGTGTGAATTTGTGGTAGTACGGTATTGATTCGCAGATATTTTGATTAGGTTCCTGATCGTTCTGTTAGTTTAGCATTGAGATCGAGTATTCGGTTTTATGCGAGTGAGGTAAGTAAATTTATGGTAATGCCCGTATAGTTTTTAAAAGCATGTTTTGATTTGTTTTTGAAGTGGTGGCAGGACTAAACCCGTTTTACACAAGTATGACTGATTTGAAGTGGAATTTTTATACTTTTCATTAAATTGAGCATGCCTACTTGAAATTTAATTGATTGTCATGATGATCTGAAAGTAATTGGTGAATTATGTTTTTCTATTAACTTCTGCCTATTTTGTCTCCGATCTGGTCATGTTATTTCTGTAATCCTGCTAGTGGGGGTTAAACGCTAGCACATGTCGACATGTTATTGATAGAATCGGTTCGTTCAACCCTGCTAGTGGGGGTTATACACCAGCAAATAGTGTAGCCTGCCAATGGGAAGTTTAATACACTAGTCATGACCTATAGAGGAGGCGTCTATTTCATTCTCGTACTGTATCCGTTTTCGTGATTACACTTGTTGGCATGCTATAAGTTTAATAAGGGGCAATCCATATTTTACTTATTGAGTTTATCTCATAGTTTTCCTTGTCCACCATTTCAGGAAGTGAAACCAAGGACGGGAAAACCATGGGAAGTGATGAGTTAGAAGGCTAGCCATTTCGAGATTGATATAGATTTAGATAAATCATGATCTTGTAAACCAGAGTGTATTTGGAGATTTTATGATATCAGAGAAATATTAAAGATTTTATCTTCAGATTTTGGTGGTATCAGATTGTGAATTGGATAAGTTTCGAGCCTTGTGCATTTGTGGGACCTTATCACGAGTGCACGACGTCTGCCACGTCCCTAGATTCGGGTTCTGGGGCGTGATAGTTGGCTTGTAAAAGTCATTGATTGATGAGTTGAAGCTTGGAACCAACTGTCGAACTGCCCACGTGCTTGTTTATTTCTTCTATAAGCCTTATAAATTGAGCTTATAGAGCCATTCTCATCTTCCTTCTTTTGATTCTGGCCAACCTTCTTTGAACTAGAAGCCCCTGAACTATCATTTTGGTATTGTTCAAGGAGACTCTTCATTGCTTGATAATCCATGATAATTCCAAACTTGATTCCATCCTCCACTTGTTCTCCCACAACAACCAACTGGGCAAAAGTGCAATTCACACAAGTTATTAACTTCTCACGATAAGGTCCTTTGGTTGACTTGATGAACAAATTACTTAATTCATGATCAGTCAGTGGAGGTTGAACTCGAGCAGCTAATCCACTCCATCTTTGAGCAAATTCCTTAAAGTTCTCACTTCGTTTCTTTTTTGCTTTTTGAAGATCCTCTCTACTAGGAGCTAGTGATGTATTGTATTCATATTGCTTCATGAAATTGTAAGTCAAATCATGCCAACTTTTGACCTTACTTTTGTCTAAAGTATAGAACCAAGCATCTGCAGGACTTGTCAAACTGTCCTGAAAGTAATGTATCATTAACTTCTCATTATTAGCATAAGGAGCCATCTTCCTTCAATACATCGTCAAGTGGGCATAAGGACAACCAATGCATTGTACTTATCAAACTCAGGCAATTTAAACTTGTGGGGTAGTTGAATGTTTGGGAAAAAGCACAAAGATGAGATGTCAACCGGTTTATTGGTTTGGACACCTTGCATCGATTTTAGTGTTTCCTCCATCAACTACACCTTCGCTTTAATTGCCTTGTCTTCATCCTCTGTGATTAACTTGACAACTTGAGTCTCTTCTTGATCATTAGACTGAACTGTAGCAACACCAGCATTTAGATCAAATGGCTTTGTCCCAGAAGTTCCACCAATAGTTGGATTTGGTGGGCAAGATGACATAGGCTTTGATGAGCTAAATTTATATACATATTAATAAGGAATTTTTACTTTGATATTATTGATATTTGGATGAGTTTTATGGGATTTTGTTTGATTTTACATGGTTTTCATTCTTTGTGTCGAAAAGGATTTATTGAAAGAAATCTTACTTTTTAGAAGTAAATTGAAGAGATCAGAGACTTGAGGATCAACTTGTGCAGAATCCAGAAGTCAAGAACCAAATCTACTATTTTACCATTAAAGAAATTGCAAAAGGAGACCAGAAACCCGACATGGGTGTAGTGTCGACACATGATCGAGGTGTCGACAGCATGCGCTAAACGTAACAGATTCTGTTTCTTATTTTGTGTCAACACGTAATCCAGAGTGTTAGCACCACGCGATCAGCATCTAAAATTCAGTTTCCTATTTTTATTCCAAGTCCTACTTCTATTTCAATTAGGGTTTCTAAAATCTTATAAATATCCATCCAAATTCAGAATAAGGGAGTTTGGAGAGGCTGGTGGCAGCCCTTTTTTGGGCATTCTTGAAGATCAAGAGAAAGGATTCAACAATAGAAGATCAAGGAGTTCGAGTTCTTCAAATTGGGTTTTGTTTTTCCTTGGGTTTTTATCTATTGTTTGATATTTGAATGTTCATAATTTTGACTTAATATTTTATTATTTTTATTATGAACTGATTTATTCTATTAGGGCTACGATGTAGCCTAATCAATTTAATATAGATTTTGTGATTTTATTCTTTCAATTAAAGTTATTCGCGTGAGGAGTTTATATTATTGAACTTAATGCATTAGAAGCCTGATCATCTTTCAATTGATTTAGTGATTTATGCATGAACTTGAGAAAGAATTGCATAGATTAGACCAATAATAATATAAACCGTGTTCTAGACTATGAGACCGAAAGGTAATTAGCTCACATGTGGTAGTGGAGGAAGAGAAGAGAGTTAGTAGCTCCCCCTTCTTAAGCTAAAGGTTTCCATAGAATCTAATGCTCATTAGTTTGTTTAAAATTACATAGAGATATGATTAATTTAACAAACCAGTGAAGGATTAACTTGACTTGAG